CAGGATTCAATGGTTTTCTGCCCTCTTCTCCTGGGCTAGAGGCTGGGCATTTCCTGCCTGTTGCCGTGGGGTGGCTTTGGCTGGGAGGAACATTACAGTCTTCTTCTATTCAATCTATATATATATAGTCAAAAGTGAGTGAGTGGGTGAGTTAAAAGTCCTGCCTGCCTTTTAATGTTGATAACTTCTGAATGCTAGATCTCATCAAAATGCAGTTTTCACCATTCGAAAGACAAGACAATTTTGTATCAAATGGAGGATCACTGCATTATTTTTCTAATGGGGTCCTTTAGATATGAAGTTCCTATTCTGGGTGGTCATGTCAATGCATCATCGTCCAAAAACATACAACATGCAGCACTGTGTCTGCATTTCTGTTTGACTGTCAGGGACTGTCTAGATCAGGGATGGTCTGCTACAATGTCTGTCCTGTCAACAGTTATGATGATATCAGTGATTGACTTGTGACTGACAGTTTCTCCAAGGAATTTCTTGTTGAAATGTCAAGCAGAATCCATTGAATTTGGAATAATGCCAAACTTCTACAACTCACTTATTAATGGTCAATCACTGATCAGCAATTTTCCTGAATTCTCCATGAATTGGAATTGTTCACAACAGGCCACAATAACTCTGGCACTCAAACATACAATTGGATGCGGTGCCGCAAGCATGTTTTTACATGCCAATGCATTTGTATAGAATACATAGAATAGGAATTTCATTTCCAAAGGATACCATCTGCAAAAAATAATGCAAAAATCCTCCCTTCAAGACAGAATTGTCTAGACTTTCGAACTGTGATGACAGCATTTAAATCAGGTCTAGTGTTGAGAAGTTATTCAAGTACAAAAGGTGGGCATGACTTTTGACACACCCTGTATATATATACCTGCATTAGCAATACCCGAATGGGCAGTGAAACTGCACTCATTCAAGGCATGCCTATAGATTTAATAGAAGCATAATTGAGATGTCCCTCGGTAAAAGTCACCCCATGGTACCAGGCAGGAAATGCCTGGCCTCCAGCCCAGGAGAAGAGGACAGAAAACAATTAAATCCCAGAACCACTCTATGGCAAAATAGCCTGCAGATTTTGGGGGAAAACTTAAGAAAGTTCAAAGAAAGAATGGATAGTGAAAGATCCCATCCTAGAAAATTGTCAGGCAGCCTGTGTCATTAGGGGGTTGAGGCTGCAAGTCTGACCAAACAAACCCTACCCAGAAAGTTTCTACTGCCAGGTGTTACAGATATGGAATTAGCAGTAAGACTGTACCTAATGCCTAAGAGGCAATCATGACTTAAGCCTGTCAGTCAGTGCCACAGTTAACGTTCTATTAGCTCGATCAGCCTCATGACTAAAATGCATGGTAGACTCAAGCCAGGAAAGGAAGTGAGAGCATGGCTTGGAATGGCTCAAGCCTATGAGGAAAAAGGAAAAATAGGGGGTAAGGCTTAGGTGCGAACCAAGCCAATGCAAGAAAACTATATATAGGCTATATATATTTGTGAGGTGAACAGATTCCCTTGAAAAACAATCTGGTAAATGTGTGAGAGACTTATGGTGTGGATGCCCTCATCTGCTCTCTGTACAGGCAGAAACTGTTTTTCTTCTTAATCTTTTCATTCTTAGTGTGGATATGTGAAAAAGGGTCAAGCTGCACCACAAGCTGATAGCAGGGTCGTGCCCCTGACGAGACTCTTGCATGGCTTGGTGGCACTCCAGGCTAATTTCACTATCTTTCTCTCTTTTTTCATGCATTCTTTGCTGTTCTTCAGTTGCCTCAATCCACTTCGGTTAGGGGTCTGCTATGGGTGGTCATCCTTTGTTCATTCTTTCATATATATATATATATATATGTATATATTTTTATTTATTTATTTGTTTATTTATTTTATTTCATTTTATATACAGGGTGTCTCAAAAAATGTATACACACTGAAGCAAGAGTATATATTAAATAATTCAGAGAGGGATGATGTTTGTGACATGTACAGTACCTAACAGATGACAATGTGTAATGGAATGATCACGTGTCACCAGGCAATTTTTTCCCACGAGACAGTGTGTCACGCCAGATGACACAAGCTCACTTGACCTTAGAGCAATGTAAGTTGATTTTGAAGTGATTCTGGAAATCTGAGAACACGTGAAGTGCAATGAAGGTGGAGAAATAAACCTGCAACTATGCCACCATGATGTACTAGAACTTTCAAGGATTCATGATAAGTTTGATGCTGATGGTGCATGGTCTCCCAGAACATTGCTAGTACAGTAATGCACAATGTTCTGATAGACCTCACCAACAGTCAACTGTCAACAGTGCCTGGATGCTAATGGTGAACAATTTGAACATCTGTGGTAGTGAACCATGCAATTCAAACCCTTGCTTCTCCACACACTGAACATTGTACCTCTCTGAATTACTTAGCATATATATTATTATTATTAAAATGTGTATACATTTTTGAGACACCTTGTATATAGATAAATAGATAGTAAAAACACCGGTTCTGTGTTGCAGTCACACTGTTGCATGAAAACTATACCAGTGATTGGGCTCTTCCCCATGACTTTTGATTTTATCCTAAGAATTAACTTATCCAGGTTGTCAGGGTTGGGTTGGGTGGTTTTAGCTTAATGTGCCTTGAGGCAAAGGCCTAGTTTGGCAGAGGCAATCTGGGCATCGCCGAGCACAGAACACTGTTGGCTGAATTCATGGGAGTCCCTTTTCTCTTCCATTGAGGGCATGCATTTCCCAGGCTTCCATCCCCTTTTGCTTTTTACGGCATAGGCCTGAGTCATTCCAAGCCATGCTGGGTTACTTCCCTCAGGGACCAGTCTCGTCATGAATTTCGGTCACAAGGCTGGTCAAGCCAATTGATAGCTAACAGTGGTGCTGATAGACGAACTTAAGCCAGGTGTGCCTCTGAAAATCTAGGTACTACATTCCTAATTTAATTTCAAAGCTTCAATGCATAATGGCAGAAACAGTCTGGATAGGGTGTCGTGTTAAGCTTGCAGCCTCAACCTCCTGAAGACGCAGGCTGCATGACAATTTCTGGGATTTCTCTTCACTGTCCTTCCTCTTTTACCTCTCTACAGTCTTGCCCCTTTTCTGCAGGCTAACTTCTCATAGTTTAGCCAATCTCTGTCAGGTTTGGTTAGGGAGCAGGGTTTATTCCCCCATTGCCCAGATTGGTTTGGGTGGGACTGGTACCATTGACACCATGGAAATATATTAGAATATTAGAATATAATCCACAGCTGGAAATGTAATATTTTTAATTATTCCCAACTGAAATATACTTGCTCATAATTTTTCCATTCTTCCTTTTTTGTGCTCCATATCATGGCCAACAGCTGCTTGATACCTGGCATCTTTTAGGGGGGCCAAATTGCATGGGCAATCACAGTATGCTTAGTCTTTCAGAAAACCTCACAATCAGTAATCATATCCAACAAGTTGGGCAAGTTCAGCCTTGATTCATTTAAGGAAACCCTCATTTTGTCACTTCATTGAACAAAATGCCACCTCTTTCTGGTCCTCAACCATCAAAAATCTCTTTTGTAACTCATATTTGGTAAACATAGACAATTGGTGTCCATGAAATGATGATGGGAGGATGGAGGGTTGAGCGTGCTTGGAACAATCCACCATGAAGATTGGTAGGGAACTGACAGCTCTAACTGCTGACACAGCACTGCAGCCAAGGCCTGGGTCATACATGCACACACATTGTGATCCAGTTCTTGAAGGGCTCACAAATATTCATGCCTTCTCTTTCATGACCAAATTTCAAATCCAAAATTTGCAATAAAAATGCAATTTTGGTGCAAATTCGCCGCAAAACAAATTCAGCCTGTATCTTATTAATATCTACCTGCTTGCCAATATTTGCATTGGTCAGGCCAATATTTTCTTATCTATCATCGGAAAACCAAAGTGTGACGCACAGAGAGACAGGATGGGATCATAAGTGGTCTCTTTCCTTTCAGAAAAGGGGGCCCACTAAAAATACATGTAAAGAAATTCCATTGTGTTTTGAGTTACAATCACAAATTTTGAGGCAATCCATCAAGATGTTCAATAGATATATGGCATATTCCTTTCGAGCAGTTACATTATGAACTTCATGTAAAGGGTGTCCCACATATCCCTAACACATTTGTTTTTTCAAGTAATCAAGAATGGACAATGTATTCAACCTGAAATTTTGGGAAAATTTAATAGATACTTTGGAAATTATGTTCCAACCCCCAGAATTCACACAGCATTGCTTTTTGTTCTGTATATAAATTTTTCCAAACGCCCTCCATTCTGATTCATGCACTCTCTGCATCAAACCAAAACATTGTATATTACTGTCTGCAATGTGTCTCTCTCAATGGTAGTGATAATTTTTAATAATTTTATTCTTTAGGTCACCAGCATTCCTTGGATTTGTGCAGTACATCTTGTTTTTTTAGGAAGCACCAGAGAAAAATATCTGGGACTGTGAAGTTTGGGGAAGAAGGAATTTTGGTAAATGAATCATTTCATGATTTGGTGCTACCCCATGGTCCCATAATCAGCACACTACCCAGACTTGGCAGCTCCTAATATATTTTTCTGAGGTGCTTCCTAAAAAGCAATGCGTATCACACAAAACTAAGGATTGCTGATGAACTAAAGAACAGAATTAGGAAAGTTATCACTACCACTGAGAGAAACACATTGCAGGTAGAAATGAATGATGCTTTGGTTTGATGCAGAGAGTGCAGTGCATCAATCAGAATGGAGGGCATTTGGAAAAATTTTATTTACCAAACAAAAAGCAATGCTGTGTGAATTCTGGGGGTTGGAACATAATTTCCAAAGTTTCTATTAAATTTTCCCAAAATTTCAGGTTGAACACAATATCCATTCTTGATTAAGTAAAAAAAACAAACGTGTCAGAGATATGTAGGACGCCCGGTATATCCAACATGAATATTCCAGTGTCTCACCTCATGCTCATCAGAGTCAGTAAGAAAGTCCTGAAGGACATCAGATTCAGCAAGGACGCGCACAGCAGACACCTTCTCCAGGTACTGTTCAAGCCCCCTCCTCCGGGCATCCAGCTGCTGTTCACTGAGGCTGAATGGCCACTTCCCAGGCAATTTTGGGAAATTAAAGTCCATGAAGTCTCGTTTGAGGGATGAGTGAAGGGACACAAATTCCCTGTATCTCCTTGAACACAAGTGTCTGCCAGCCATGTAGATATTAAACACCTGAGAAATAAAATTATTGCATCAGATATGCCTATGCAAATACAGGGTGAGTCAAAAGTCACTGGATAACTTTGAACAGTTAAAACTCAGCAAGGAAGGCATTAATTTGAAAACGATTTTTTGCATATGAAAGAGCATGAGTTATTTGACGAAACAACATGGAAATTTGCAAGAAATACCATTAAGAAATGGGATGAGCCTACACAAAATGAAAAGCAACATTTTTAAGCATAAAAGTGATACTTAGGGTACAACAGATGCCCTATTTGCAATTATTTTCTGTTAACTTTTGCTGCTCATAATGGTTTTCTGATAAAGCCTATGAACCATCTTTGGAGAAATGTGTCGCCATCAGTAATTTATTCTCTATCTGTGAAGGAAATATTTCCAAAGTGAAGAGTCGTTTTTGCTTTGAAGACAGGTGGATAGGTTGGGTCGGGCCTATCAAGTGGCCTCCCAGGTCGCCAGACCTGACTCCACTCAACTTCTAGCTGTGGGGTTTCATTTAAAGACCATATGCTGAAAAAATTGCGCACAATCATTGAACTGAAGCAACGCATCACTGAGAAGATCGCTGGAGTTGCCTTTTGGTGACGGCTCATGTGATTGAGCTCAATGGTGTTCAATATCATAGCAAGTAATTACAGTCATTTTTATGCAAAATAAATAAATGATTTTTTTTTCAATGTTGCATATTAGTCAATTATTGCATGCTCTTTCCTATGCAAAAAACCATTTGCAAAATTAATGCATTCCTTGCCAAGTTATAGGTGTTCAAAGTCATTCAGTGACTTTTGGCTCACCCTGTATTTGGCTCACTCAATTTCAATGCAAACAATTTTTAGATCTAAAAAGGAAAAATACTGACAGCATATTTCTCACTGGGTTTCTCCACCCACGTATAGTCGGGGATGGATATGGGAAGAGATCGTTTCTCACTGTAGTCAATGTATGTGTAACCTCCATTGTCCTCTCCTGGTTCTAACTTCTCTGCTTCCTACATTGATAAGCAATGCATTGAAACCAAAAGCCCACATGGGATTTGACACAATGATGCAGACACTGAGCATAGGAAAGTGTACACTCATGTTTCAACTCACCTGCTGACTCACAGAGATGACTGTGAGTGTAAGGACATCCCCACCAGCCTTGATGAGATCCACAACCTGCTTGTGGGTGGCACCTTCAACATTCACGCCATTTCTTAAAATAATATAAAGAAAGGTTGAAAGAGGACTATCATAGCCCTTTCCAGAGAGCTATATTACAGACAAGTACTGGGAGACCTACAGGTGGTTGTGTCCACCCTTTATACATGCCCTCTTTTAAACCCTGTCAAACACAAGCTTATGCCAAAAGTTTTCTCCAAAACCCAACTTCAAGCAGATCTCAGGTGTTAAGCAGTTTTACACAGCAACAACATCCAATTCCTATTACTATCATCTGCTGGGTCTATATCTGCCCTTTAACTTCTGACCAGTTTTCCAGATTTATCCAAAATTTAAGAAAAACTCTAAACTGCAAATTTGATGTCTTTCCAAATGTTGCAACCACAAACTCAAAAACAAGAAAATATATGTAACCAAGCCAGTGTTCTGAGAGGCTCCTACAAAACATAGTAAAACTCCTTGTGAATTCACAGCCAATAAAAAGTTGCAAATCATCCCAAAAGAATATGAATTAAAAGTTCAGGACATATTGGATACATAATTCTAATAATATTCACAACGTTACAGCACCACAATTCATAGATTCTCTTGTCTAGACCTGCATGAAGAATGAGTGATTTTAATGACACTGAATCACCGTCAGTTTTATCCTACCAGTCAGCACCTCTGAAGTAGATGTTCCCATTTACCAGCACATAAGTTTTAAAATATATGCAATGCACCTGAATAAACAAATGGTTGAAGGCTCTTGAAGGCTCTCAGAGGACAATACACAATGGAAACCCTATTGGAAAGTTGATTGTTTTTCTTTTACTCTCATACAATCTAAAGGACAATGGGAGATCTTACACATGTTAATACCCTAGCATCCTGCCCAGGATATGGCTCACCTATTCAGTCATATTATTCATACACTTAAAATTAGCCTTCTTCCATTTCTTTTGTCCTCTCTCACTCAAGATTACTGCATAATGTTCTGTAACTTAATCACTACTGCAACATGCCTACCCTTACCATTACTAAGGAAACAATTGCAGCAGAAGCTGCACTCACACCCACAACCTGGAGAATACTAGACCATGGTAATATTCATCCAGCCATAACAGCACCATGCTATCCAAAATAAACATGGAAATTGTTGAGAAGAGTTCTGAGCCAGGTATGAAGAAGTGCTTGGCTAGGAAATTTTTTATGTGAACTTTTTTTATATCATGATTTCATTAAGATTAACCATGAAATAGCATGGTTTCATACCATAGCTACAAATTACAAATACATCTGGTAAATAGACAAGAGCTGGGATTAGAAAATTACAGAAACTCAATTGACTTTCTTTACAGCTTTTCCATCTACTATTCCATGCATCTTCCAGAAGGTTTGCAAAAAAAAGAGAGAGTTTTTACATAGTGCTTGATAATCATCTTGAATGTCATGTGCTTTTAGTTCTTTTGAACATTAGAACTAAATTTATTTTGAATAAAGATTATATTTTTGCATGTTTTAGAGGCAACTATCAACAATTGCATTTCCTAATTTCACGTTATGTTCTGAAAGTTCCTACTCTTAATTTTTTTTCTCCATTAACAAATGCGATGGCACACACACTTTGGCAAACATGTCTGAACATTTCAGGGAAATCCCAATTGATACAAAAACGAAGGGGGATCTGTAGTGAACATTCATGGTAATATGCAGAACATGAATGTTAATGATTGCATGAGACACACAAGAGTGAAAACTTAAGTTGTTTGAGAGCATAATATGAACATCATGGAGCATAATTGCTCCCAAAGACCACAGACAAAGAGAATACCTGCCAGACAAAAATGTTCAAGATCAAGGCCAATACGTGCATAAAGATACATGAAACTGTGGCCCGAATAGCTTATTGCACATGATGAAATAAACAAGACTATACATGATCATATTAGGTACCCCATGCTCCAATTTCAACCTGCAAGAGTCCAATGATAGGTTCACATAGCACATATGGCACACCAACATAGTCTCCAAGTTGGCCCAACAGGGGTATTCCTAGAGGCAGTCATTTGAATCCAGTTCATCAATTGACCATCAAGTGGAAATTTTGACAAAGACTAACTGCTCAATTATAGGTCTACTACTATGCAAACCCCTCTCTGTACTTCTCTAGGTGCCTATGCATAACAAACATTTTTCTAATTTTTTTTATTTCATATGGTCAAGTTTTCCTCTCTTCCAGCTTGAATCCCTGGAAGGGATGGGTGCATGTCATGGCAGGGTGGGGACAGATGCCAAAAGTGTATCAGCCTGACATGCAGCACACTATGACCTGCTAGAATGTGATTTATGAGCTGTATGATTGCTTGTTTCCAAATGATGCTAGATGGTATCAGCTATCCTATATAACTCATTCTGAAGTTCCCAAGACATGCAAAAAGTTGCTCAGATGAGGTGTGAAGGGCTGTACTAGTAATAGTGGATGCAACAATGCTGAGCAGTATTCTACTTCTTGGAGGGAGACAACCATTCACATCAACTGTCTGAAGTCTCTAAAGTAGATTTCAAAAGGGCAGTTCAGTTCCAGTTACAGTTGGGTTTTTCATTTGAGAACAGTCCAAATGTGCCATTTGAACCTGAGTTGGACCACACTTGTGAGAGTCTGTGTTGACCCCTCTTCCAATCTTAGTCAGATTTCAGTCTGACAAGAATGTGACCATGATTCCAACCAATTAGTATGTCTGAAGCCTCTCTTCTATCATGGCACCTGGAGAACTTGAATTAGACCCACCCTTAGGCAACTGTCTCCATGGGAAAGGCAAGCTAATAAATATGTATCTGTTTTGACTTCTTCTTCCTCTGAGTTGAAGTCAGTGCTGCTTGGTTTTCCTTGTCATGTCATGATGAAATGAGGATGATACATTGCTTGCCTTTCTTCACCTTGCCAAGCCAGTCATTTTCATGGAACATCCATACTGCAGATTCTCTATTTCTTCCCTGGTGAAACTGGGCAATTCATGACTTTTCATCAATGATGATCTTAATGAATTATTTTTAGGGATGCACCGATACCAATCCAAAGGATCGGTATCAGCTGATGCCAAGTGGATCGGCATCGGTTGATACCTATATGGCCGATCTGATCCAATTTGATTCTCCCTTGCTGCATGCCATACTTGATGAACAGTGCGTAAATTTTTGGAACATCTCAAGAAAAAAACCACACTCGTAATGGCATACGGTTCCTTATGTACATCATAGTTCCTATTCATCTCCAACTGATAGACAATGAGCTAAAGCATGGTTAAAGTGGAATGTGCGAGATTTGAGAAAGGCATTGTATGAATGGATGGGCCAGTGTCATTCACATATGCATTTATTCCTTCACTTTTCCTCCTTCCGTCCCATCTCCTGCCTTCCTGCACTGACTGGTTGGTGCAGGTGCACTTTGTGCTCACATCCATCATGCCTCTGGCTCTCCCTTTAAGCACCAATCCCAGTTGTACAGTAGTTGCATCAACTCCTTAATCCCTTAAGGACATTAGATGTAGTTCCTGACTCGACTCCTCTTCGCACCAATCGTCCTTTGTATGCAATACTTACGTCAGATGTGTTCTTGGTGGACCTGGTGAATGGCGGGGGAAGTTTTTGGCATATACTCAAGAAGCTAATATATTGCAAATGTAAATGCAATGCAATGCAAATGTCTCCAAAGCTAAATAAATGACAGGAACTTCAAATGTTGGATCATTTCGAGGATTTTTTTTCTTTCCCTTCTCTGCCAAAGGTAGCATAAGGTCTACTAAGGTCTGGTCCTATATTGGGGTTTCATTTCTGACAGCCACTGGGGGCCATCTGTGTCGGTATCAGTATCGATATCGGCCGATACCATGACACTGGGATCGGTATCAGTATCAGCTAATCCTGGATCGGTGCATCCCTAATTATTTTTGACCATCCTTCATGAAAACTCGTACAATTCCACTCTGACCACCTTCTACTCGTCTAACAAATGGTAGGGGATCCAACAGCAAGAAATTTTTCTGCTCCAAAAAACTTTCGCAGGATTTTGGTAACATGCCTCAATCCACAATATCCTGGTATGGGCCATTTTCAGTCTTTGTGCACCATAAATTCCACTTTCTAGATGTTTTCTTCAGTGACAGCAGTTGTAGATCTTCCACTGGGGGGGGGGGGGGGGGCTTCTTCCTGGTTGGTTCTTCCCCTTTTAAACACAACAAGCCAGTAAAGGAAAGTGTGGCTCTCGGAGGGGCTCTGTCCCAAAAGGCAGTACTAAAATGGGCAAAACAGTGTGCTTCATTTAAGCCACTTTTCTGATCATAGAGAGTCATGGCATGGAAGTGCTCTCTGCTGAGCATCATGGTGTCCACTAAGAGAATGTCTACATTCCTCACTACAAATATTTCCAGAATATATAGTTAATTCCTAGTTGCCAATTTTTCTCAGTTCTTATGAAACAAGCTTTTCCAAACTCTTTCAATGATTAAAATCTACACTATTTTATTTTCCCATACCTCAGAACTTCTGAATAGCCCTCATAGATACAGCATATACTACATTTGTGCAAAGACATCACAAGCCTATTTTAGAAAAATAGATAAATATTTTAAACACCATCATCAATTTATTGCAAATGAGCAACAGTGAACTAATTTCTGTACATTCAGATTGACATGATTTTATCAGCAAAGCTTTTGATTGCAAATTGCAAGAGAACTAGGAAAGGCATGCAGATCTGTCCCTACATCTATTGCACTTCCCCTTAAAGCAATACCTCTTATTGATTTCTGAACTAAAAAAAAAATTACTTCTGAAATCTTATCCCTTACAATACAGCCAACTGTTGCTATTGCAGGATTGTATTTACAGCTCTGTTCTTTCACCTTTACACATTTTGGAACTCTGCAAAAGAAGTCAAATCCTCTCATAGAAAGTATGTAGATCATTTGTTTTTTCTACTGAAAGTATTAATCAAGCCATGTGAATTTACTATCATTATGCAAGAAAAGAAAAATCTTTTAGCAATGCTTCATTCTTAAAGTAGAGAATTTTTTTTATGATTTAAAATCAAGATTTCTTTTTTTCAGTTTTGGTCACTTTTTCCCAATTTTCTAAAGCATTCTCCAAAGAAACAAGTCCATCCTTTGAAATTTGTTTACATATTGAAATAATTTAACACAATAAAACAGAGAACTTTTACTTCAATTTCCAATAAAGAGCATGTATTTATATAAAGAGCAAATTTAAGCATATTTTAGTAGACCACAAAAACCTGAGTCAAATATCCTCCAGAGTGAATGTGTTATTTAATAAAAGTGGAGTATTTGAGTGACATGGGATAGTCTAAAATTATATACAATTATAGCTGAACCATTGAGAATACCAGAAAATATCTCCAAGATACTGATACTTATGTAGTGATATATAATTGGCTCAAATCTCACACATCAGGAGGAAAACTGTCTAAATATCATACGGGATGATGGGAGATATGATTTTGATGATGCATGACTCCCATCAATACATCTGCCAAAAAGTCCAGCCTGATTTGACTCTCATATATAAAAAAGACTACCAATATTATACATAATTTGGTTAGAGCTATGCATCATACCTTGCTATTTTATCTCTAGAATCAACTTGACCACTCATATCAAATTGAGGACTGCTGCTTATAAGTTCCACTGCACTTGATGTCTCTGGAGCAAATGCTGAGCCCATATATGCAGTATTGATTTAGTTTGGAAAAAACTATAAGTCACACTTGTCAGCTAATTATGAGGTTGTGTTAAATTCAGCAGTAAACTCTAGAAAAACTCCATATATTTCTTATGACTAGTGGAATTGACAAGTCAAGTGACTGTCATAAGGAAAATACATTGTCTACCATTTCCTGCATGTAATATAGTAAGAGTAATGGGAAATATCGAAGAAACTCCCTCTAGTTGAATACACCAAAGAAGTCAAGGTGCCCACAAATAACTTGTTCAAGAGCCAAAATGCTTTCATTTAGCATGTGAAAAAAATGGATGGTGACTCTTCCATCAATAGGACATCACAAAACAATGTTTCAACCATCCAAGCTTCATACAGTGGCTTGCATCCACTTCTCAGGAATGATGGAAAATGTATCAAAATCAAGTCCAATCAAAGTGGGGTAAAAAAAATAACTGGGGGTAATATAGAAAATTAAATGAATTAGAGTAGGCCAAGGTTATATATCAGGCCATGGAGTGAAAAGGTAGCAAGTCCACCTTCCGGAATTTTACTGGAATTAAGTTTAAAGTTTTTGTGAATAATATTAAGTCAATTCTTTATATGAAAAAGAAAATGAAGAGGTTGGGCTTCGTCAACATCTGGCATTTTTCTTTATATACTACCATGAAAAGATCTACTTCCGCCATATCTGACCATTTCGGCTTTCTAAAATTGAGGAAACTCAATGATGAAAAGTCTACTTTGCCCGTATTGCTTCTTTACCACAGATGCAGGTCTGAGACCATCACATAGGGTGTGATCTCATAGAAACCCTAACTTTAAAAATGGCCACCAAACTGGAAGATTTTTAAAATGTTCCTAGGGATGGCTTAAATTCTAAAAGTCCAAGACATGAGCTTAGTCATCCAACAACAATCAACGAAGTTATTATTCACAAGGAGATACTGTAGGTCAATTATACAACCTTAGGCTTCTGGACATAGTTCAATCAAAAATATTATCTAAAAAGATAACTGTGAAAGCAGATAATTGTTGAACTAGGCTTCGGTGTTTCTGGAATGCCTTTTACTCCATTAACCTCCATCCCATACTTGCTTACTGAACTACAATGCACTAATATACCCTCACATAACCTATGCACTGCCTATTTATTCCAGTACTAATAAACTAACCTTGAACTCAATCAACACTGTCTTAAAACAATGCATTAGAATTATTCACTCAAAATCCAGGCACCACCCCACTCTCTCCCTCTTCACTCATAATAAATGGCTCTACATTGAAGATCTTTCACCCTACCTCATCTTCCAACATATGTACAAAATCTCCACTGGAACTGCTCCTAGTTACCTCTCAGCATCTCTCTCAAGCAAAAGATACTGCACACTACCTCTGCTCCCATGCATCCATGAAATCATGCCTCCCACAAGCCCCCACAAAAATATCCCAGAAAAGCCTTAAATATTGCGGCACCAAGCATCGGAACTCCCCTCTTCTTAATCAATTAAGGTGCTCCTCCACACTATGCATATTTAAAACTGACCTCAAAGAACGCTTATTAATACAATACACAGCCTAACCACTTCCCACTTCTCTTCGTAATCTTTCCTGTTCCCCTTGCACAGTTCTGTACATTGTCTCCCATGCTAGAAATGCATTATTGACAAATTGTCTAAGTACAAATCACCCCTATATACTTGTCAATCCTTTTATGTTTGATAAAAACATAAAAAGGAGTCCCTGTCCACCAAACAATTGAACTCTCAATTGAGCCCCTGTACAGCCTGATAAAGTGGACAATAAATCAATCATTCCATCACCTATACAACCCATTCTGGTACCAATTGGTCTGTCAGCTAGCATGATTTGTGCCTTTTTATGGGCTTTACCATTGAGTTGTGTATAGGGTTACCATGTTTCAGACAGCCTAAAAAAGAGGATGCTTAAGAGTCCGATGGAAATTTGAAGGCAAAAAAAGACATGTCTGGGGATAATTTCCTGATATATGGTAATCCATAGGATGCCTTCCTCTCAGATGGAAAGCAAAGAAAGAGGACATGCCCAGGAAAAACCACACTTATGGTAACCCTGGTTGCGCAGCAACAGTTCTCACACTCAGCGAGGGATGTCACTCCATTGACTACACTTAACGATATGCTATTTTCTAATCAGTGGTCATTGCAATTACTGGGTGTCTCTCCAGCACCACTGACATCAGCACCAGGTAAGTCAGTCTAGAAACATTGTATTGTTCACAAAGGTAGACCTTGGCATACCATTAGCCAAGGCCTAGATCTAAGTTTATCTTAGGCAGACTTGAGCGTGACTGAACTCTTGCGCCAAAACTTGAATATTTTTGCAAAGGCTGTGCGATATTCTGAAGATAGCCATAACGCAATTATGAAGTTATCATCACATATAATGAAGAAAGTACCCATGGTAAGACGATTAAACGTTAGGAAATTAATCTCCAGATGTGAAATATGCTATTTACTAAAGTCTGCGCAGAATAGCAAGCTAATGGTAAGCTATCCTGAGCGGAATGGAACTCACACTTCTAAGATTCGATCCCCTTTCCGAACGCCGGCCTTCTCGGCAGCTCCTCCATCGAGTACGGCACTGACATGCTGCATGGGAGCATACAATTCTCCATTGATGCTTTTTAATTGCCCTCCCTCGCTCACCTGACCCCGGACATTGAAACCGAATCCCGTATCGGATTTGTATATCCGAACCACTCGAGGTCCAGTCGCAATATTTTCCTCCGAAGAGGATCCCATGATTTCCGCCATCTTTAAATACCTACCCAGGGCGAACCTCGCGACATCTCTGAAGTGTTTCGTTTCCATTATTCGTGCTGCTCATGGTAGATGGTAGAGGCAGGCTAATGCGATTTGGTCTGCTCCAGTCACATAGGGTCGGTTGATGAATGGAGGGCTAAGTTCAGGGGCGGATACAGGAATTTTTCATAGGGGGTTCCCAAATTTCTACCTACCTCCCCCCCCCCCCCCCCCCCCCCCCCCCCCCCCCCCCCCC